TAGGTTAGAGTGATCAAATAAATCAAAATCATGTAAAGGAACTTTCTAAAGTTCCTAGCTAGCCAAAATTAGAAAATGAGTTTTTTATGGCGCAGTGTACTTTATTTTCGTTGAATTCATTTATTTGGAAGGAATATGCGTCGATTAACCGATAATGCGTTCATGACGGCAGTAAACATCAACTCGAGAGTTCCTATATGGTGCACTTCAAAAGCCGTGAAAGTTGCACAACATTTTTGAGTTAATTCCAAGCAATGACCTGCGTGTCACACATTGAAAACAAAATCCAACTCATTGCAGAACGAACTGAGCGAGTATTTGTTATTACTCGTCGATTGTTATTACGTCATTTGATTGCTGATTGTCTCATTCAGTCAACTCTTGAAAATATTTTTCGTCTGCAACACAAGTCTTCGGCTCCAGAACCTGCAAATGGCGCATATATTCTGTCAGAGACGGTAAATTTTGTTTCTGAAATAAATTTGCGCAAATTGATACTAAGTTGCATAGGTTCGAATCATTCCAGCATCAAGCTGCGGGCTCTTTGGCCAAAACTAAACAACCATTCCAGTCCACTCAATGGGCTGGAAAATGCCCCGCTCTGAAATACTACGGCCTTCATGCAATTAATCGACTGCCAGCGGACGAGAGGGCAGCTGTGAAGTACGAGCGTTAATTATTGTAAGTATAATGAGGGTAAATGGTATAGAAAAACAGACCTTCGACGGTGAATCTAAAGTTGAGAGACATACATTATGTTTGAGTTAGTAAATTAAGTTGCCACATGTTTACTATTGCTTCACCTACTTAGCTATCTCGCACCGAAAGTTAAGATGACCATCACCAACGAGGACTCTATTGTTGAAAGTTTCTTAAATCAAAAATCTTTCATCACCCAAAAGGGGTGGAAGGTCTCAATGATCCAGCCCGCTGAAACTGGCTCGAAAGAAGCAGCGTCAGTATCTCAAAAAGGCGAAGTGACAAGGAGGGACAGGTGACAAGGAGGGACAGGTGACAAGGAGGGACAGGTGACAAGGAGGGACAGGTGACAAGGAGGGACAGGTGACAAGGAGGGACAGGAGAAGAGCAACAGAAACTAAGACACTCGAACAAGAGGTCGCTCACACGGGACGTCGGCCACCCGCACTAGAGAGATACAGAAGGGAAATGTAAGGAATCCTACCTACATAATAACTTAATGTGAAGAATCCTACCTACATAATAACTTAATGTAAGGAATCCTACCTACATCATAACTTAATGTAAGGAATCCTACCTACATCATAACTTAATGTAAGGAATCCTACCTACATCATAACTTAATGTAAGGAATCCTACCTACATAATAACTTAACCCCACAACTGAGACCCGCAGTCAGACACCCCGAGCTCAGCGGTGGGGCGCTCAGGAGCAATCTCTCTATGAGGCGAAATCCCATAGGACTTCTGACGAGCACAGACACGCTTCAGAAATCCCCCCTGATCGGATATTTTGTTTGAGGAAAAACAGACGTGGCTTAACCTTACTTGAAGCTCAAATGCCAAATTTGCGATATAGAATTCTTTATCCTTTGGAAATCATTTGTAGGCTCCTATATAACAAGATCCTACTTCTCATGCCGAGAACATATAGTAATTTTCCGCAACTGTGATTTCATTATCCTACAGGATATGAGGGTAATCCTAAGAATTTTCTCGCCTGGTGGCAGGAGTTTTAATGTGCACATCGCCAAAGATACCGCGGCGTCGAACTTTTTCTTAATGAAGCGACTTAACCCAAACGTGAGCTCATCACAAACCAAGCAGCTAGAAGTATGCTAGGGCACAATGATACGAGCGTGGCACTAAATACATAGTAACAATGATTTTTATTTACTGCTAAGTTTTGATCAATAAAGACACAACACACAACACAAGTAAACCCGGCGTCAAGTGCCTTAAAATTTTCAGTGTCTTGGGTTCATAATTTAAACAAAAGAGATTTCCAGGTTATATCTAGACTAGTTCAGTTTATTAATGCGCTCCAGAACAGCCCTTTATCATAAATAATATTTTTTCTTGACTTTTTTTGCTCTTAACTTAATTCTTGATTTGAATTTTAATCAATGAAATTATTTTGAAAATTTAATAGTATTATACTGCAACACGAACACAATTGTCTTGATGTTTCGGTCAGAAAGAAAAATTACCTGCATGTCTAATTACAGAAAATAAGACTATAATATAGCCCAAGTTCAATTCAAATAGCAATTTATTCTTCAAAACAAGACTTGAAAGTCAGGTCCGTACGGAAGTCAAAAGATAAAAACTCCATCAACGTTTCATATAAACTCTTTTGAAAAACTTCTTCAGTACGGAAAGCACCACCAAACCTCTCAAACCACCTCACGGACGTTCTTCATTGCCAAACTCTTAATAGTTAACGCGTATTTAAATAGGAATTTTTCCCATTTTCTTGCTCTTGTAAGCAGGTTAACACTAGGGAGCGCTGTAAGTTATTAAAATAATTCGTGCTAATCAATGAAAACTGAAAATCAGAGTTATCCTAACTTTTGAACTCGTCAAATAACAGAAGCAGGAAAGTAAAATCAACCGAGCTCAATTTCAAATTGGATTCAATGATGAACGGAGTCTCAATTAATTGTCAGACAAGTTCCAAACTTCTGTTCTGTAACGTAAACATTCGTCGAGGCAATTAAAGCAATATTTTTTTAGACAACAGAAGGATTCATTTCAGAACACGAATACATGCAGCAAAAAAAGTTTTTCACTACTGGCAGACTTTCTGCAGTCTATGATTGTATTGACAAAATTATTTGTCACTTGTTATGACTCAAAGAAAAGGAAGAATCTAGTTACGGCAACTGACTGACGACTGACCGTAGAAACATGAACACATAGGAACTCGAACTTCTAATAAAATTAATATCCTTATTCTATCCCAACAGGCCACACGTTATGCTTTAGGCAATTTGTAATAGCTGAGCTGCGTATACACTCACTACCATTCTCCGGTATGTATGTTCTTTAGACTTTTCTCATGCAGGTATTATTATAGATAAAAAGAATGTAACTCTAAAGAAAAAATACCTAATTTAAACATATCAAGAACGTATTGATATAGTTCTATTTAGAACAAACACATACTACACTTAGGGTAGTTTCTACGCATACACATCACTGCCTCAGTAATGATCAAATCCAGAAAAATTACTTTTAATTGATGGCTCCGGCGGTGAAGACATCATATTAATGACACGACATCAGCATTGCATCTTGAATGTCGACTTCTTGTGCTACTCGGAAGCGGGCGGAATGCTCGTCCGAAGCCCTCATCTCCAACAAATTTCTGTCGTTAATTGCATAGCTAGCGGTAAAACACTATTTCAAAAGCAGCCTTTTTTGCATATCCACGCGATAGTATCCTAGTTTGAAGTAATAAAGTTAGTGACGAAACTGAGGAGTTTTAATCGAAAACAGAGCGTAGATTTCAAATAGCGAGCACGCAAGTATGACTCCCAATTGCATATATTATCGAAACTATATTATTACATGACTTTATTCACAAGACAATGATGAAGATTTTAGATGCAGTTAATCCCATTTCCATAATAAATATAACCAGATAAAAAAATAAATTAAAAGAAAACTGAATAATATACGTAATATATATAATAAGATATAATATGAATAAATCAATACGCAGTGAAATTTGCTTTACTCAAACTGACAATTACGCAGAAGAAGCTCGAGGCACGCAGCGCCCGCGGCATGCATGTGTAGGACAAACTGTAATTGGCGGCGCTATCAAGACAAAGGCCGCCATAGATGCTGTTATTGCAGGGCAGCGAAGCATCCTACTGTTTGATCGCTAATGCAAGGACAATGAGCAAGATCAAATCTCGGTGCAGATGAACAGATTAGCATTAAATTCAGGGATGAAATGTGATGAGATGATGATCTGCTTGCGTAATTTATTTACACAGAAATCGCACACCGAGAGCGGAAGATAAAAACTTGCATATCAAGTCGTGACACGTTCACAATTGTGACGCGACACAATCAAAATCGTGACGCAAATATAATCTTTTAATTTACTCACAAAAAAATAATTAAACTTAGTTGCTGAACATGCAACAGAATGTTTATCGGAGCGACAATAATCGGGCCGTTTCCTCAAAGTGGAAACGGCCCGATTTGCATGCCGCAAGTCGGCGGCATGCCATGTTAACTAGGTACTCAGGATTTTTTAAGACAAAACAAAATACGAATCAAAAAGATTCAGTTTCGAACTCACACAATCTAATGACCATTGAAGATATGATTATGTGTTACAAATATGATAATGAAGTTACGTATCTCTGAAAAACGCACTTCACTAGTCAATTGTTAAGTTACAACAATCAAAAATCTTACCAAAATAGCATTGAAATTTTCCCTGAAGAATCTTCGCACAGCCAAACTTGCGGTGGCAAACCTGGTAACAACTTGGGTTCTGTTCTGCTCTCTATTAATTGTTAGAGCAAATTGAGTTAATTTAACTTCATTTTCAAGCGTCAACACTGCTAAGAGAAAAGTCGATTCGAAAATTTGTTGTATCTTACTTTGAAGGAAGTTTACGATAATCAGCCTACGGTGATACCGTCAACAACCACCAAACTACGACCCATGATGACAAAACGCAACTGCTTTGCTCAACAACGAGCTACGAACGTTATCTCGTTTACGTGTCAATCTTACTATTATTTATTGTGATACTTTTGTTGTATAAAGCGACTATTCATAAGTCATAAATTCACAATATATAATACACTTTTCGTATGTGGCACGGACAAATTTGGCTGAAAATTCAGAGCAATTTGAGAAAATTATAAAGAAGTATTGTTAAAAGTTCATTTATTAAAACAGAAACAATTTCTCCTAATCAAAATTGTACATTATTGCACGAGATCATTGATCATCATTCAATGCTAAGTTGCTAACACGAAATTTTATCTTACCAGTAATCCAGTTGCACTTCCTCAGTCAAACCACCACTACAGACGCAGGGCAGAGCAAACGGTAAGAACCATACTCTTCGATGGCTAAAGCAACACTGCGGATCACGGAGACGGAGCTTTGTAACAATTCATTCAAATGCCGTCCGGTTGTAAAGAACGGTTGGAGAAAAAATAATTAACATACGGAGAAGAAACAAAAATCCTCAATAATTTACAATTACAAAACATGATGCTTAGAAGGTAATTTATACCAATAACTTTTGCAGTTTTGTTCATTTTAGAGTCGAATCGAGAATCAGTACGAAGTAATTTTGTTGATGCTAACATTTAATTGCCATCAAGATGGATCATAATAGATGGCATTTTCCAACTGGGAAACTCGATAAATAAAATATTATTTAATTTCGAATTCAACTGGATATAACGGTGATGTATACCCTACAATACAATTTTTAGAACTCATTTTCATACGAGGTTTATTTAGATGTAGTTATCCTTCAAATATCTTCTTTGAATAAAAATTTATTTTGACGAGTAACCATATTATTTATTCCGTTGCAGACTACAACTCAAATTTTGATCCGAAATTCTTTCCAGTAACTGAAAGAGGTACTCAGCTGATGCATATTGAATAGACTGAATGGTTCAAAAAGTATCCAATACATAGTAAACAAATTTACTCAATAATTGGTTATATGACCTTTAGAAGCCAAAACTGCTTCTAACCGAGTGGCATATTTTTTCGCAAGATTAAAACATATGCTTATGGAAATTTTAGCCCACTCTTCCTTGCATATTTCTTTAAATTGGATAAGATTTCTTGAATCTCTCTCCTGCATCCTCAATTTCATTTACCGACACAAATTTCCAATCGGATTGAGATCAGGTGATTGGCTTGGCCATTCCAATAAGTTGGACATGTCGCTCTCCTGAAACCATGCAAGAGTTGCCTTTGCCTGGTACTTAGGGTCATTCTCTTGTTAGAATATCCAACCTCGAAAAAAGTGCAATTTTTCTGCTGACTTCACGAGACATCTCTCATGAATGCCCCGATACATTTCGTCTCCCTTTTTTCCACGATTTCCGATTCCCCAGGTCATGCAGAAGAGAAACATCCCCAAAGCATTTAGCTGCCACCTACAAACTTCATTGTTGGGACGGTATTCTGCGGGTAAAACGCAGAGTTCTCTTTTCTCCAAACACGAGTCACGACTGACTTAGTTCCGACCAAACAACTCAACTTCAGTTTCATCTGACCATAATATTTTATCCCAAAAGCTTGGAAGTTTACTCACGTGTTATTTAGCAAAGTTCCGTCGGTTATTTTCGTGAATTTCCTTCGAGAGAGGGATTTTTCTCGCTGACCGAGAGTGGAATCCACTTTTTCGAAGAACTGTCCTAATTGTACACATGCAAACATTTATCCTACTTGATTGCAAGTCTTTTTGCAGTTCAGAGCGGGGCAGTCGAGGATTATTCTGCACTTTTCGAATTTAACTCCTAGCTATACGGTCAGAAATTTTTGTATGACGCCCTGAGCGAGGCAGACTAGTCGAAAGATGGAATGATTTCCACCTCCGATCAGTATCACCAGCTGTCGAAATGGGGATACTTAACACAGTTTACATTTTTCTATGTACAAACGATCTCTATGTAGCTGAATAATTTACCAAGCAACGAATAGATCCCAAACAATGAATGTCTGCAGTTAGAAAGATGTCTATGACGTTCTTTTGCATTCTAGAATATTTCAACGTTTTCTGATTCTAGGATATTCCCCCGAACATAGTGGAGGATAAATTATTGGCGAATCAAATTCTTTTTTACCATGTGTAGGATATTTTTTTGACCTTAACTTTTACAAAATTGCAATTATGAAGTCAACATTTAATGATATTGTTGTTTTGATATGATATTCGTATTTCCCATGCATGTAAATTTACATTAGAATGGTGTTTGTTTATGTTATATTGTTGAATAAGCTTTGATTAAATGAAGTTTTTCCTTTGTGTCGGATACTTTTTGCACGCACTATATCTGTCCTGCAAGAATAGTTTTACATTGCTTTAGTTGATTGATGGCTTAACACCAATTTAGATTTTAGATCTTGCAGGTCCACAGTTCCAGAATATGTTGGATATAAAAGAACGCAAGGTCATTGTGTAAAATGTTCGTGGTCCTTGTTTTCGCAAGCATGAAAAAGTGAATTTTTAATAATATTGCTGATTTTTCGAAGCGTCGGCCCAAGCGCCCCTTGCATACGTGGCGAGAGTTGAAACCGATATTCAAGGTACGAGATTCGGTTTGGAAAATCTTCGAGACGGTTGCGTCAATGTCACAAATATATTTATTTGTGACACATTATTTATTACCTATCCCGATTTAACCATGAGAAAGTTTTAAAATATCAAAAAATTTACCAATTTTGTTATCATTTCAAAAAAGGTGTACAATCCAAAATTACAAGATTCATGACAATCTGTTAAAGCAGAAATTTTAGCTCCTTATAGCTCTACATTCCGGTTGAAAAATAATGTTTATTTTTTATACCGAAGTCAAAATACGACATTGACAGAGAAAATGTCGAGAGATTGATTGAGAAAATGTATGTCAGCTGCTTAGTTTTCACGTGCTATTGACGATGCGAGGTGACAGGTTCTGACTCTTTCCCGCGACTCTTTCCAAGCACTGTACGACCAAGCGACAGTGAAACGACTGTCTTGAGTGAAGAATTTAACCTAATTAAATTCAATTATTGAAAAAGTATGATCGTTCAAGTAGCAGCAAATGACAAATACATATTAAAATTGTGTGATTCACGTATTCATGCTATGCATATTTTAAAACGTTATTGCGATTATCTCTCCGCGATACACGAAAACAAGTATTGTTTTCATGTATCGCGGTTGTTTATTGCGATACATGAAAACAAGTATTGTTTGTATTTCTTAACCATGCAAACATTATATTAATGATTAGTCTCATGTAGCTGTAATGTAGGAGTTGCGCAAATATCACTACAAATAATTTTACAATGATACTGCATACATGATACTTTGTATTATTGTGATTATCGCTTATGTTATTTGCTTCAAAAAAAAGCATTTATATACGCCTTTTAATTATCATAGAAAGCAGCATTTTTTCAATCATGGTAATAATAATTTAAATCAGATATTCAGTATGGCAGTAATTCAGTGGGCCTGGTCTGATACTAATATGACATATTATTAAGCGATGTTCAATAGAATGACATGAAATTAAGAATATTTCTTAGTCATATTTATTAAATTTCTGACATGGAAAGTTTCCACATCGACTGGAATACTCCCATGATTACATAGAATCCTGAACGTACCTATAGAATTTAATATGCTATACTCTAGCTCATTTAATTTAAGATGTACATTAAAATAATCGTTCATGTGGTAGCAAATAGAAACTTTATACTAAATTGTGTTTTTGTAGCATTCATTTTCTTCATATTTAAAAACATTATTACGCTCATATACGACCATGACGCTCATAGACCAGGCTGCGAAGTGGGCTGGGAAAGAAGAATGTAAGTTTACCTTGAAGAAAAGATTTATTGCCTGCGCCTGCAGGAGAGCATGACTACCAATGGTCTGGTCGTGCTGAGGTTTCACCTACCTTTGGGCATGAAGTGCATATATCAAAGACTAGAAGAATAATTCGGAAAAGTTTGGGGTAGCGATCAATGAAGAACAAACAGTTAAACCGACGTATATCGAGAAAATGCTAGAAAAGTCACATGCTTTACGAACATCGGGGTGCAAAATTTCATCCTCCCTGATATTAGTTGAAATAAAACATTTACATAATCTGTCTTAATGTCTGCGTATTGAAAATAATAAGGCAGGATAGCATTCCAAATTTCAGACTTGTATCTTATTTTTGAGGGAGTTATTGAACCTATAAATAGTTAAGAAACTCCATAGCGACTATCGTGAGTATCGCGGCTTAGCGCGTTGATGCTGAGTCTTAAAGTCTAGTAAGGTGCTCAATTAAAGAATTTAGCTGATCTTATGAGGACATTTATTGTAAAAAATACATGATTGCCTTATATTATACAAAATTATGATGTGCAAATTAGAATCATATAATGCAAAAATATGAACAACAGTCCACATGCGTTTGATATATGCTCAACTTTAGGACAGAGGCTACATAAGAGAAATTTGCAATGCAATTTTACAATAAATGCAATTTTACGCAATGCAAATTTTTTGCGCAATTTTACGCAAATTCCATTTACACTAACGACTAGATTACACTTCTAGAGGAAACGAAGATCAAATACGGAGTTGGTAATTTTTGAAGATTGGGTTTTAATTTCTATATCTTGATTACCCATAGTGCGTTTGTTCTGGTATGGAGTGAACTGGATGAAAGACAATGGCACTCTGATGAAGAAAAATGAAATTACGAAGATCTTACTTAATTGGGAGGTAAAATAATCTTAAATTAAACGAGATCCATAGAAATTTAAACGATTAATTTTACCTTATACAAGAACTCTACTTCTACTCAGGTACTATGCTGTGAAATGTGATTAAATGAATAGACGCCGATGAAACTTCATCAAGAATTAGTCATCGAACACCTGAAAACTTCATATATAAGATGCCGACAAAATTGTCGAAAAATAAAACTGATCGTCTTAAAACAAATACGCCAATTTTTCCATGCAGGCAGTACGAGCGTCATCACGCTTAGGCGTGTTTGAATCTAAAACAATCTTTCATAAGCAATTTGATTGTCCATAGCAAAACATTACATTTTCGCGACAGTATTTTGTGTTTAAAGGTTCTCGACAGATTCGTTGATCCAGTCGATGTAATATTGGACTTTAGTGTAGACTCCGGGCTTGTTGGGCTTGGCGCAGCTGCTGCCCCACGACACAATGCCCAGCACGTTGAAACTCCCTGCAGAGTAGAAAAACATATTTCAATATTTCTTCAGAAAAGAAAATAGAAAAGAATTCTCTACGCTAAAACGAATTTTCAGAAAACTATTGAGATATGAGAAAGAATTGATTTGTATGACTTATAAGGTTCATGGTCGTTTTCATAGCCCAACGGATAATCCTGTTCTAAACTGGGCCATATCATTTAATAATGTGGCTGAGTCATGGTCACTTCTCCAGGACACGGTTATGTCTGCAGTTGATGCGTGTGTACCTAAAATTAAGCTGGGTGGAGCCAAAAAAAACTCGGTGGATGAACAGTACAGTTTTAGCTAAGCTGAAAACAAAGAAGGAAGCAGACCAGCGTTATTTACAGACTCGTAGCGATGCTGACTATAACCTATACGCAAGAGCTCGAAATTAAGCTAAAGAAAGCTGTCGCACCGCTGTAAAAACCCTCGAAAAACGTATTGCTAAAAATGCAAAAAAGAACCCGAAAGCCTTCTTTTTATACGCTAGCTCGAAGTGCAAGATGAAGGACGGTATTTCTGATTTGAAAGTAGATCAGCGAAAGATATCCTCTGATGAGGGCAAAGCCAACGTACTTAATCATTTTTCAGTAGCGTATTAAGCCTCCATTATCGACGTCTGCGTGGGGACCTCATTGAAGTATACAAGTATACTCATGGCTTATACAAGGTCCCAGAAGGACTTCTAGAATTTGAAACAAGAACCAACACCAGGGGCCACGGCTATAAACTAAAAAAACAGCGTTGGAACACATCCATGCGACAACATTTCTTCTCGCTTCGAGTCACCGACATGTGGAACAGCCTCCCAGTCAAGTCACGAAAAATTCAAGAATCGGCAACAGGCCATGGGCCTATTTCTTCAACGCCGACACTTCTATTCTATTCTATAAAAACTTGACCCGATCATTCGAAAACACAAGATAATTAACTATACGAATTATAAGTGCACATTATAAATAAACATTGCAAATCATTATAATTGACATTATAATGGCATCCATTATAATGTGGTTAGTAGCTCACCATTAACCTCGCACACAAGCGGACCGCCCGAGTCGCCGCCACACGAGTCCACGGTGCCCTGCAGGTAGCCTGCGCACACCATCCCCGGCCCGAACTGCATCTTGCCGAGCACAGCCTCGCCCTGACACACCTCAGCTGCCAGGAGAGGGACTGAGGCAGCCTGTAGGCTGTCGGGTTTGTTTTCGTAATCCGCAGCTGAAATTGGAATATAACAACTGATTACTTTGTGCGGAAGCAAGAAGACGTCATATAACGAACACGGTAAGAGAGATTGCACAAGTGGTGTAGTCAAAAATGTAACAATAATACCCGTACGAAGAATTCGAGATAAACGTTGCCACACTGGGAATATTTTGACAAAAATTCGAATTCATACCTACTAATTCATTTGGTATTTCATTTAATAATTAGTTATATGAAGATCTTCGACAGAGATGCAAAGATTACTTTGTAATTTATAACAAAGGAACATGAAGTTTACCGCACTAAGTGCACAACGTACAAACTGCAACTGGGCATCACCCCTGGTTCGGTTCGAGACTCCGGTCAAGTCCCACCATTAGTAACGCCCAGCCGCTGACATAACCCACCATAAGTACTCCCAGCCGCTGACGTCGGTCACGACCCACCATTAGTAACCCCCAGCCGCTAACGTCGGTCACGACCCACCATTAGTAACCCCCAGCCGCTAACGTCGGTCACGACCCACCATTAGTAAGCCCCAGCCGATAACATCGGTCACGACTCACCATTAGTAGCCCCCAGCCGCTAACGTCGGTCACGACCCACCATTAGTAAGCCCCAGCCGATAACATCGGTCACGACTCACCATTAGTAACCCCCAGCCGCTAACGTCGGTCACGACCCACCATTAGTAACCCCCCAGCCGCTGACATCGGCCATAACCCACCATTAGTAACCCCCCAGCCGCTGACGTAGCACCAGGTGCCGTGCGTGTAAGGCGTGAGGCGTGTAGGGAGACACGCAGCGGACACAGCAGCGCTGCTCGTGATGCCCTGCTCGCCCTTGAGCCTGATCACTGCCACGTCGTTCGCGTACGTTCCTCCTAGATTGGAAACGGTACGATTTATGAATAATAGGCAAGAGACACACAATTTAATGAAATAGGGTTCGACATAATAAAATATAGATAATACTTATATTATTATTATGTGGAAAGAAGTATTAGATCTGAGGTAAAATCTGTTGTTACAGATTTAAAAGAGGTTGCTGACAAAGCTAGTGCAGGACATTTAAATCCTCTGATGCATATATGACATATTATTCTCGAAAATATATCGGAAAATTCCGCCTTTAAATTCATATCAATAATCTTGAATGTGTGATATTTGTAGGAATGCAACAATTGGATACATAAAAATGTAGCGCTGGATGAGATTTGTTAAGACGCATCGTAATTCAATCATTTTCAGGGATCACAATAGGCCAGGCCTTCGACTGAAGATTGCTACTTATTCGGCGTTAAAGTCATTTAAAAAAAAAAGGAATTATTTACGCAACTCACTCATCCACTAAATTATCTTGAATACTCGTAAACATAAATTGTTGAACTATTTAAACTATTTACTCATCTTGAAAAATCACTGATTTTCATTTGAAGACCACGTGATGTTAACTCCATGTAACTCGCCTGGAATTTTAGAACTAGATCAGAACGAATACAGCCGAAACACATACTCACCTTCCTGGAACTTAGGATGGACGATCCAGCCCTCAACTTCAAAAGTTTGTTCGTTATCGTCAATGGAAGAACGGTGATCATCCCCGACTTTGATGACGAACTCTGAGGGTTTGAATCCTACGAGGCAGTGAGCTGCGGTGAGGATGTGGTGGGGACCAATGATGGCTCCCCCGCAGTGGTGGTGCGTCTCACGACCGTACTTCAATTCCATGTTGGCCTGGAATACCAAAAATGTCACTAAAGTGCTCATTCTAGCTTCGTTTTACAAACACGGTTCGAAATAACCGAGAAAAATCGTTGTTGGCGGCGTTCTAGTGGTCGGTCGCCACGTGAAAATGAACTTTCTTTTAGATATAGTCCGGGTTTCATGAGTTAAATTGGATGTTTTGTGCGGGTGAACATGATTTTTTTTCATGTGCTGGCCGGCCACTGAAATACAGGTAAAATAGTTTTGCAGTACATTGGCGGTATGATTTGCACATTGATCGCTCTTTATTCATTTTTTGCTCACAAAAAATATTTGAAAGTTGCTTAAAATTTTGAACCAAGGCAGAGAAATTATTCTCTTCAAAGAAATTCGCTCACCATCCAAGGATAGGCCCCGTACGGCACCGAGGACCCCCCGATTATTCTACCGGAAGGACGAAGAGATTTTTTCTCCAAGTCATGGAAGATGCTACGTTGGCCGCAGTCCCTTTCGGCCCCGGTGCGTACGTACGTTGCACTTGACGCCGCTGAATACGTTGCGTCATTCATTGGAAATTTCGGAAAACCTCCATTCTTGTAGCCGATGCTACGGCCTGACTCTGACGGCCTCTCGTGTGCCAATTTTAAATCGTTGACATAATTGCTGGTGCCTGTGATCTGCGCTTCGTCTCTGTTTTCCGAAGATCTTTCCTCATTCACTTCTGTAGTTGGGAGATCTGAGTCATCTCGACGACTAGTTTTTGAGTCTGTGTGTCGTGACTCGCCTTCTGAAGTAGAAAATCCGAAGATTTAAAATCAGTATGTTCACTTTAATTACAGAGAGCAAGTGTTTACTAACAAATTCAAGATTGAGGTAGTATTCCTTGATTGCGTAATGTGCATCTTTGCAAATGTGAAAGGGAGGGCAAACCAATAAAAGAAATGCTACGTTAAAGTAATGCTGCGTTAAAAAATGTGGGATATTGCCCATTTTAGTTCAACTTTTCTTTTCACTCAAAACTCATTCATCGTGAAGAAAATAGTTACACCAAAATTCCTAATAATGTAATTAAACTTGTTTGGATCTGCATCTCTATAATCATCATTTTTCATGAAACCACAACAACTTATTTTCAAGACGAAATTGAAAAGAAAAGCAAATGATCTATCAAATCAAACTATGAAGTTATAGTACTCGGCATCTCAGCAATTTATCGTACTTTTTTCATAATTAAAATTAATGAGTGCCGGTCGGCTGACGACCATCATCTACCAGATTTTTATCAGAGATTTTTTGGGAGAAGCAATTTTTATCAAAAAATCTAGTGTTTACGTTCACATGCTATCGAATTGACGCAGGATTCTAGTGCGCACACACAGCCGCATTGCTGCAGTGAGAGTTGCGTCCACGCCAACTAGTGAAAGTGCAAGTTATTTGCATCGCCTTAGCGATGTCTTTGAAGAGCAAGTGCCCCAGTGACCTGACTTCAAATTACGTATCATTTGTTCAGGCTGTATCAGAGTTACCCCGCCATTACATCTAAGTGAGGTTTCTGCATCCAAATTTTATGGTGATTGCGATGGCATGCGGCGACCGACCATAATATGAGTATTAGGTGCCGTTGCGCAAATTCCAACGCAATTACATTTGCATTATGTGCCTGAGCTCAACTTTCAACCAAATTGCCTTTTTTTATTTTAATGGCTTATGCTATACTTAATTGGCGCGTTAGTTACAGAATTGTGGCCGCTATATCGTGCCTCACTCATAACCATCATGCGGACTGATGTGTTGTGAGCGGATAAGATGCAAGAATTTTGAATTACATAACACACGAGTATTTGAAATTAGAGAATGTTGGCAAGGATCTAATATGAGAAAGTCGTATACTCGAGGAGCATGTATTGTACTATTTGACTTATAACTGTACTTTTAGGCTCTGTATTGTAAGATTCGTTTCCAAACTCAGAACTTAGTACAAAATTATGCACCTAAGGAGACGGAAATATTTGAGAATCATTCTTTCAAATTCTTTTGGCCATTTTAATTTAGTTCGATTTGTATTCAAGGTATCGAATAAAGTGGGGAACTATACTCGAACATGTATAATTAAATCACTTATAGCATGATAATTGTTTGTCGACATGTATGGATCTGAATTATGAGTGATGTTGAGACAGATTAGTAATAAGGCAATCATTATTTAATTGTGAGTTTATACTGAACACGATGCTCATACAGGAAAAAATTCAATGTGTTGGCTATAATAGCAAGGATAAAAGGAAATAATTACCTGTTGATAAATAGATGCAAAGAACAATAATACAGAGTCTTCTTCTGCAAGAAAAATTCATCTTGATTAAGCTCTGAACTTAACGGTTAAAAAGTCAAGGCACGTGTGATGCGTAACGCGGAGACGACCGACGTACAACCCCTCACTCTTGGTATGCGACTGAATCGGTAGGCAGATGCAAGCGATTAATATACAACCAGATGCGTAGAGCCACTGCCACAACCGGTGCTGATGACCTCGACATCAATGGCTGCGGGTCATTTGCAGCTTTGTTTTATCTTCTTTATCTGCACCTAAAATAGAGATAATAGGTGTGATGATTGCTAAGTTGGGAGGAAACGACGCAAAAGCGGACGATGCGCAGTTTGTTGATCAAGTCAGATCCTTACAGACCTCTGGGTCAGGTCAAGGCCTGGGAAGTGTTTTTAAATATAATTCTGGGGCAGAAAGTCAAACTTTGCGGAGATTGAATCAAAATATTTCAGGCCATCTGGAGCGAATAATCTGTATTAGATCACCAATCACCTTACGGCCATCGCAAGACCTTTGAAGATGTTGACAGCAAGGATATTAAATAGTGAGGTAGGTAATCTGAGTAGAAGAAGCACAGAGCGCTCCATTACAAGTAAAAGAACAAACGAACCAATCAAATGTTACATATTAAAAATTTAAGTTCACACGAAATGCCATTGTTAAAAGTTTTTTAATCGTCCTGGCCACGCCTTAAATGCGCCGCGCCTCCGAGCTGCCAAGAGTTTAGCAGAGCACGGAACTCAGCGCCTTTCTCTGTCCACTCTGAATTACTGGGTCTTGTTTGCATTCTGTGGCGTCTGAATATTATTTACAGAACGAAAAAAATTCCACCAGGCAGCTCTCATTTTACCCAGAAATATGTGCATATTTGTTGATAAGGATCAATTCGTGCTTGAAAACTTGATGATTATTTTCGCTTGAGTAAATAAGATACTAAATTTTTCTATATTCGGCCTTGTTTTCTTTGTATAAAATATTTCTACAGGAAGCTCGGCAACGAAAAAGAACACAATACTTTCACAGCGCGACCGGCACTTTTTCCAATGCAATTAATTTATGTTCTGCCTAATTAATTAGCTACTCCTCCTGGATGCTCGCTATGGCTGATCTTCGTATGTTAGAAGTCCTACATGACTTCGTATGACTCAAAATTTCGGGAGATATTTGCCTGATAATCCAACATTTTGATTGCACTATACCATGGGTGTGAGGAAGGAGAGGAAGCATGAGGTCCAACCTCTCCTTAATTGTCACATCATTACAAATAAAATTCGGCTATTTCAACTTTTACCTCACTTCACCTCACATGACGCAGTTCCCTACTAGAGTGGCGCGACCCACACTTCGAGACGCATTGCCTAAAAGTCTTCCTCGTGTATAATTAGATTCTATGGACACCTTAGTAGGAGTGATTCGCTACCTTTGAAGTTATAGATTAGAACCGTCTGTTGCTTCTACTTGACTACACTATGGTCATTTTTTTTCAATGAAAATTATTTATGGGATGAATTCAGGTGATCCATCAGGAGCGTTGGCCTAGTCTAGATGGTTTCTCAACCCAATTGTCGATATATTGTCATAACCCATTTTGATTTGTTAACTATAGAGCTGATTATAAGTTTAGTTACAGATCCCATTAATTATGAATTAGTCTGGTATTGAGAAAGTCATTAAGGTATTCTCATTGAGAAAGATTTGCATAATTACTGGCTCCACAGTACTAGATTCGTGAATCAGCAAGGCTGATTGAGAGTCACGATTGAGAGTCACGCTAGCTAATTGGACAATATTAAGAATGCTAAGCGCGCTCGTTACAGACGAGGTCGGGTGCCTTATCGGTCGCGCCCGCAGTGGCGCTGCTTCGGCATCAGCGGTCCTAGGAACAGACTGGAATGTGAGAGTTGCGCTGAAAGTTTCATAAGTTTCTATTTCTTATTCGAGTTCATCAACTTTGTTTTTAAATTATCTTTTATCTTCGAAAAAAGATAATTTGTTTAGGATCATGCATTAAGTTCTATTCTGTAAGCTGCTTTTTAATTTTAATGAAGACATTGATGAATAATTGAAGATCTTTGATTAGTATAAAATTAACAAAATTTCATAAAAAACTTATTTAGGTATTTACTTTATGGGTAAAAGGAAATAAGCACATTTTAAAGTTTCCGATTCCAGCCTCATTAATTTACTAAATTAATTTCTGCGTTTTACGAAATCGAATAATTTGAAAGGCTGCATTTCATATTTAATTTGTCGGTCACGAACATAGTGACACATTTCGTACGTTGGCTGGCTCTCTCTTCACCAGACTAGAAAGTTTAGTCATTCTGGTGACCTAGAAACATGTCCTTGCTGCTGCACGAAACCGACAGTGCAAAATATTTACTCTCACTGAAAGTGCGCAAGACAGCACCAGGCACGATTTTAAACCAAGCCATTTGACGCATTAAGAGCAGTTGTCCCTTATTAATTATTAAATTAATAATTAATTAGCACCCGAATGCCGTGCATTGCTCAGGATAGCATTTAAAACCTATTTAAAAACCTATATGTATTTTAAAAAAATTAAGTAATAATCGAGTTTTGGGGCCGGGGGATAAACACGCGGCGCAACCTCAAACAAAGTGAGATGATCAATGGTACATGAACAGTTGCGTCATTTGACCTGTGGTTCACAAGAAGCGAGGCTGGAAATGAAGTGCAAAATCAGGGCGCGTTTAAAAGTTAGGGGATCGCTGAATAATTAACGCGCTTGCGAGTTGTTCCGAGTTATTTAGTTATTTATTCATTCAGTTTTTTCATATTGTGGTCCGAAATCGGGAGTGACATCAAGAACGCGTAATTTGTGTAAAATTTTCAACACTTAATGTTGGAAGCACTGTTAAGTTAAAAAATTGTATGCAGCTGAAAACAAATTCTCTGCATTTCTATTAAATAATATACGTTTTAATGTTGGATTAATTAATTAAAGGATGGCTTATCAAATTGGAATTTCGCTAACTTATGAATTTATCAAGCCGAAGTTTTAAAGTAATTATTTTGTTAATTTTCTTTTTAACTCACTGTAAAATAACATGATGTTGAAAACGTGTGTAATTCACCCATACAACACAATCTCCTTCTCTTGGCTGTTTGCATCAAACTATAACTAATTTAAGCCTGAATGAGAAAAGTAAATCAACAACTGATTAAATTTATGTAAAAATCATCAGACACATAACCAGAAATAGTACTTGATGATAATATACTATTTACTGTAGTAGTAGTCGTATTTTAAAAGGCGACACGACATGCTATATATATTTTAGAATATATTTAATGTTGGTGAGAAGGATGCGTGGCGTGCAGAGAAAACACATAGGTGGGTCGAGGACGGGTCAACATCGATACAAGAGAAAGATACTTGTCTGCGATAAAGGCTTTGTCATCAACAGGAAGTCATCAAAAGTCCTTGACCTAACCTTGATCCGGTAGAGGGCAATTCGGTTTCACTGAAAATGCTCTCCGACGGCTTTGCTTTCGCTTGAGTTTTCTTTTTGTCACATGGCTTGTTAGAAGAAAACGGGAATTTATCGTTTAAAATTAATTCATCGCATAAAGAGGAAAGCCTCAGGATATCTGTTGTTGTCTGAATGTATATTTAAATGAATTTTACTCTAGCCCTCCTAGATTTAAATTTTAATTCTCAGGTTGATGCCTGCGAATGTTAACCAGCTACAAAAAGATCTAAGACGCCAAGAAAGCATGTCACGAATCAAGATCACAATGGTTTTTAAAAATTAAATTAATTGTTTATCAATAATGTTGATAAATAATAATAAATAATTGAACCTACTTCCACTAAGGATTAGAACTTTTCCATAGACTAGAAATAGTAAAAATACAAATAACTAAATTATCCCACAGTACCCCGTCCCGGGATACTGTGGGAAAGTCCATGGAGGTTACATTGGGACACTTTGTCTAACCACGATATCATCAAATTTATTGTCGATTTCAGGTTAGAATTTTGTCTTTTCGTTGTTCTGCATTAGAAGAGTCGGTAACAATGACATCAATGTTTCCAACATCGACTGACACAAGATCAGCTGCAACAGGAATTTAATAATGTTCCGATTTTTCTCTGCGGCACCGTGAAACCAAATTCTACAAGAACGCAATCATTGAGCTATGGTTCTCTTCTATGGTTTAAAAGATTTAGTAACTTTTTCCTAGCAGTAATTCTTAGCCTATTGCTTTGGAAGAATTATGAGAAATATGGAATTTTTCTTCTGGTGACGATGACTAAGAGAGCCTAGTATATCTTACAGCGATTATTTGTGGGCGAACGGTCAGTTTATGTTCTATATTGTAAGGCCCTGGTTTGAATAATGTAAATTTTCTGAGACATGGACACTGGACACTGTCCCAGTGTGCCGCAAACGAAAGGTCCAATTGTACCTCAAACCACCATTTTGGAATCGTTCGGCTGAGATTTTATTTTAATAGACCATGTTACTATTGATCTTAATCAATTAATTTTGAACGTATTATGTAGCAATTAATCACACAGTGAAGCTGCAGATCGCAAAATTGGCCCTCTTATTACATTTAATGCATTTAAAAATATTTAGTGGGCTTACCTTAAAATAAAATCTTGCTCACTGAAGAATGCAGGACAGAGCAACACGTCTCTCTTCTATATCAATCAATACACTAACATATGTGCTACTACTAGTATATACTGTTTTTCAATATTATTTTTATGTACAAAATAATTGGCGTGGCCCACTGTGCCCCATGTCTCACTGTACCTCACTTTCCCCTATGTGCATCCCACCCCACTGATGGTACTGTACTGTAGTACAGAAGTATCGGCATCGAGTATCAGGCCATGTACGGCGTCTCGCCTATTACCACCGACATTTCAACAGTTTCCTTGCTAGCTGTGGCTCGATCCCGCACCTGACTGATCTAGTCTTGTTGTTCAACAGAGTACCTAGCAGTTTTATTTTCCACTTATAGAAATTTGCGTTATTAGACGTCACTAATTTTATTTAATTTTAATATTACTATTTGTTGGTACGAATGAGTTGAAATGGAAATTGCCAAAATTATTATTTGCCCAGTAGGAATA